GTAGGTGACAAGCATGGTGGTTAGTTTTCTGTATACTTCTTATATAGTATATTGGTACTCAAGTGTAAATCTGAAGTGATTCATCCGGGGCTCGAATTCATGACTTATCGGTTCTGAATCCGACTTTTACCGTCTGAGCAGCCCCGGTCTGAAGCTACGTTTAGCAATAGCCTTGCCCTAGGTAATCCGTAGTTAAGATAAGGGATTACTCCTCTGACGTTGAATCGAACCTATCATCTTTAAAATTAGAGCCAACCTCTTGGGCATTGTGCCACCATGCCACAGGGTCATAGTATTCAATAAGAATGAGACCGTCGAGATTTGAAGTTGAGTAATGAAGATGCAGTCATCGCGGAGCGCTACAAAGGCCGACCAAAAATGGGTTGATAAGCTTAAGTGTGATATGCTGCAATGCATTATGTTTCTGATGGGGCAGAAATAGAAAGGATATGAGAAATCAAGAGCAAAAAATAGACACGAGCTGTATATGAGATAATGAGAGTTAATGCAGTTTGGCATGGACTGACTTTTGGTTTACAGAGTCGAGGTGTAAAGATTTTATGCTTGACGTTTACTTGTTAGTTTATGTTCCCTAATATTTTGGCATTCATATGTACATGTCCATTAATTCAGACCAGGATCTGAGGCTCTTACTATGCAGTTAGTATTAATTTTGCCTATATTTAAAGGTTCCTGTTGTTATAGGAATCTTACGAAAAATCGATTGATTTGCAATGGTTACCGGCCTTTCTCCTCAAAGCGCTCCGACGAGCGCTTCAGCTGTGCCATCGCCCGCTGCTCCTGGTTCTGAACTTGACTTACAGTCGTTTAAGGAATTTCTCTATCAGTACAACCGACTTTCCCAGGATTGTTTTATGGCGTGCGTCAAGGATTTTACCTCTAAGACGGTTTCCAGCAACGAAGAGCGGTGCGCTTTGAACTGTTTGGAAAAGTTTCTGAAGATGACTCAGCGGGTATCGACCAGGTTCCAGGAGTATCAAATGATTCAGACAGAAAGTGCCAATGCAATGGCACAGCGTGGTCACCTCTAGACTTCGGGTCATTGATGAAGCAAAAATTTGTTCCTTAAATGGTGATAACTTGTTTCAGCGGTTAGGCAAATACATTAAGTTAGACTGCATACCGATCTTGTAGCCTTTACAATAGTACTTGTGAGTAGCCCTTTATGTTGACGTATGTGTGGGAATATAAATGGCGCAACAACTAGAATGTCAGAAAGTATGCAAAAACAGTAAGTTAATAATTTTCTTAAAGACGGTTGAATTGTTATTTGAGGCATCATCCAGAACATCTGTATAAGCTTGTATTTGTACAGCATATTGCAGCATTAATCAAGAATTATTGGTTAATATTTTGAATTGAAATATACATGATGATAGTAAGAACTGAAAGCGCCGTGGCATTCGAGATTTGGTTACAGATCTAGACGATAATAAGTCATGGAAATTTCGAATTTATCTCAGTGCTCTTTCCTATATTATGCTAAATATTTAATAAGCATATTAATTCAGGCTCTGAATGAAAGCTCTTCGATGTGGTCTTTTGTCAGCTAATGGTCTTCACTTTCTGATCTTGCTTCGCTTTCCTATCTTTTCTGATGCTGTTCGATGACCAGGCCGCAGCGCACATGAATGAGAGCCTTATAAGTTCTCTAGTCTAAAATATTCAGTTTTGTATTTTTGCAACTGCCTCTTATTGACAAAATATCCAAAAAATGCAAAATCATATCGATTGATTCACATGTTCATTGTAAGAAATATAATCTGTGCCACAAATACGTAGAAAGAAATTGGATCATAGAAGAAGAGATTTCAGTTCGCTCAATATAATGCCAACTCAGTGCTCTTTTCCAATGGACTGTCATTGACTCACATTAGTCATAGAGTGGTACAAAGTAACCTTGCTTCATACTTCCATTCTGTGAGCAGTCGCAATGAACAAACGAGTAGAAGAACAGTTTTCTGCTTATAACAACTGCTTTAATTTATTAGCGATGAGAATTTGTGCTCCAGTGTTTTTTCAGAATTATCCCCCTTACTTAAGCCAACTTGTGTATCATCTGGTTTATTAGTTTATGATGCGACAGTTAGTTTCATCGAACCTATCAGCTGCAAATGACAAATAAGTATGAAATTGGCGGAAACGGAATTGTTCCCATCCAGGTCACTTACCTAATACCGACTGTAGCACGTTTCAATGAAGTTGCAATGATTATGATTTACTGCATTATTTGCCTCCACCTTTCGATGCAGGGTCGTTGCAGATGCCGCTTTGAATTCGGCAGTAGTTACCTACTTGCTTATTTTGGACTAAAATAAGATTAATGAAAATATGCGTGGAAAGATATATCAACTTTAAAACCAGCGCTTTGTAAACTTTTCTAGAATTACATAAAAATGTTCCCTGAATGATTTATTTCCGTTCATTCGTCATGCTATTCTAAGTTATGCCGACAAGCAGATTTCTTGGCGGTCATTTTCAGACAATGTGCTTGCAAAGTTATAGAATTATGCCTGAAATTATCCAACGATTATCGATTCACAGAAAAAGTGCATCTTTGCATGACATTGAAGGTTCAGTCGATGCAATCACTCATGCTTATGCATAGCTGATGCACAGAAGCGTACCAACAGAGCAAAAATTGGTTTTGTACACGCTAGCTCATAAGGGAATTGAAAAATTGTAGGCGACAACAAAGTGGTCAGCTTGCAGGATGAATGAACAAGATATAAGCAAATCTTCATCTGAGGAGGATTGTTTTTTTCTATGATGCATTATGCTTGTGCCTTGCAGTATTACCGCTGAAAAGTTAGGACTGAAATTGGGTTATTTTTTCCACTGATCATTATATCGGACAACCGGGTCGATCAAGGCGAAATGCGGCCACAAAGGGCTCATGTGGGATTGGGATAGTGTGGTGATACATCTTATACGTTCTGACATGGCCAGATCAGAAAATTACGCTATCCCTATTATTCAAGTCCCTGATTTACTACCCACTTCTTGGCTAGTTGCGCCAAAGCAACCTCGTCTGAATTCAGCGCCGCCTTTTAACAACCATGCTAGTACACACCAAGATTCCAGCGACATATGCCTATGCTAGTGACTCTAAACGAATCATAAAAACATGAACACAGCAGTAAATCCATTAATTAGTCAAATCAATTACTTGCCAGACACAAATCACAAATATCAGAGACATACGAAAAGCCCTAAACTGATTAAAACAGAAATTTGATAAAAATTCCGTCATCGTAGAACATGCTGTAACCCATAAGCTTGGCAAATGTTTGGACAGAATGTGAGATGCTGCGCGAGAATTACAGTATCATTAACGCAAAGTCAAAGAGGCTTTATTAATCTACATGACCTTGAGACAGACGTCGGCGACATATGGACTGCAGACATTAAGCGATCGTTTACAACCAATAATAAACGCATCACTATTATTCATACGGATAACACCATACTTATATGGCAGGGTTCAATTTTCGTGATGTGCGAAAGGAAACTTCGAAGCGTCGTGAAACAGATCTATTGAATGAGAGAACGTACTAATAAACATCATAGGTGTATATTACCTTAATTTGCAATTTCAGTTAGTACACGCTTGGTGTACAACTTCTTCGACAATAATGATTATCCATTGCACACCAAGCACTTCTAGTGTCTTGACGTATTTCATCCACCAGATGCAGATACGTGAACGCGCATCCAGGACAGTGCTGTACCGGAAGTCCATGATCTTTGCATCAAGACGCATTTCCCGAAATTCTAGTGAAACAACACTGCATTAGTTTAACTTGCTCAGGGTGACGTAGTCTTTATTCTTTCTGTTTGCTTCAGCATTTGGGTTTTAAGTCAACTTACCTTTCCCAGTTGCAGTGACATACCAAGGAGAGTTTTATATTTTTATGTACTGTAACTTGTACAGAGTTCTTTTATTTAGCTAGTGCAGTATGTTTATCTTGCTGAAAGGTGGAATTTATCGGCAATTTTATTGATGCAGCAAATTTCATTTATTTAAAAGGCATAAATACAAGTCAATTATAAATCGATCGGCAGCTTTTGAGGCTCTGACGATATTATTCAACGGTCAAAAGCATGTAATTTCTGAAAACAAAAAGTTCTACAATGACAGAACGCCATCACTCTTATCCTGAAGGAAATTTTTACGTCGTCGCTTATAGTCAATCGTACGCTGACTGATAGTTTCCCTGTGTTTGATTAAATCCTCGCTGCTCAGTTTTTAATTTTTTCATATTATTTCGGTTACCTTTAGTCCTTCGTTATCTTTCTACGAATAGGCGCAACTGTTTTACATTTTCACCAACCGAACTATAGGTATTGGAACTATAGGTATGAAGCAGTCGACTGCTTTCTGTTTGTACTGTAGATTTTAAAGCTACCTGTTGAACAAGCTAAAGGTCATTCTGTCGATCGAACGTGGTAGATAGAGGCTGAGACATGTTTCGTGCTCCTGTTCAACTGGTATGGCTTCTTTTATTAATATTACCCGAAGCAGCCGCCCTAATTGACTGAGTTTATTTTTCTAATTCTCATTTTGATTGTGAGTGCAAGAAAATGGCGTCAGTTCACGGTTTAATGCTTTTCTAGATCTTCAGGATGAACTCCAAAATTTAAATTAAGTAGTAGTCTAAAAGTTGTTACCTCGACCTGGTTTTGCCTATAATAAATTTTTAGATTTTTTATAAGTGGGAATTTTGATTTTTACCTATTGTCTTATAGGTACAATCTGAGGATTTCTACTTAGCGTTGTATTTCCGTCATTTGTAATTATGGGCTACGATTCAGTTTTTACAGACAGCCAGTAGATGGCTGTTAAGGTTTTTGAAAGACAGCTGAAAATGAAATGTACGTTGGCCCTTTGAGTGGCAAATGTTTGGTTTAAATATTATCAGCAAAGCAAACAGTTCAAATGGCGATGCTCATGCGGCACCTGAGCTAATTTCGATTAAACCATTATCATCTCATCCACGTGACCATCCGGGAGGCAGCAGGGTTGATATCGGAGCTGTAAAGTTAGCAGATCACTGGTGTCCTAAGTGTGTTTGTGAGCATAAAATGTTTTCTACAATTTTTAAAGAATAAAGGCACAAAAGCGGAAGCCGGTTTTCGAAATCATTTTTTTCGTTTCAGCTGCTTTCAGTTTTTCTTTAGTCTATCGTTTCTTTACGGGAAGATCACATTTTTCACCCACACCATTCGTTTTTTTAA